CTTTTAAGTGTTCGAACTGCAGTCGAGATAAAATTTTATTTTTTCAAGATCTTTTATATCAAATTCTCCTTTTAAATAATTTATAGCACTTAAAATCTCTTCGGGAGTTCCAATTATATTTAAATAGTCAACATATATAGCAATTATCACAAACTCTTTTTCGAATTTCTTTATAAAGACACATGGACAAATTGAGTTATTTTTATAACCTTCTTTTAATAAATAATCACTAAGACAATTATACCACATGCGTCCAGATTGTTTCAATCCATATAGAGATCTTTGTAATTTAATCAAATACATCTCTTGAGAATGTATTTTGCATGCTTCGAGCATTTTAAGTCCTTCCGGAACTTTCATATAGATATCATTATCAAGTGACCCATATAAATAGGTCGTTATTACATCCATTAAATGCATATGAAGTTTTTCACATCGTCGTCAAACTAATAAGATACCGAAATGTAATTGCATTCATTACGGGAGAATATGTATCTTCATAATCAATGCTAGAGTCTTTGTGAAAACCCTTGCGCTTACAAGTCTTGCTTAATATCTCACAATTTCATCTTTTTCATTTCGTTTTCGCACAAATACCCATTTGTATCCTATTGGCTTAACATCTTCATGTGTTTTAACTATGGGTCAAAAAGCTGTTCGTTTTGTGAGAGACTTTAATTCTTCTTGAATTACATCTTTCTATTTAGACCAATCATCTCTATGTCGACATTCTTCAATGGATTTAGGCTTAGGATCCTTATTCAAGATATCAATTGCCACATTATATGCAAAGATGTTATCAATGAATGTTTCTTTTCGGTCACATACTCTTTCGTGTTAACATAATTTATCGAAATTTCTTGATTTTTCTCAAGCATTTGGGCTTCTTACGGAAGCTTGTTATCAAAAACATCTTGGACCGTTTTATCTGTCTCCTTTATATTTTCATCTTGATTATTTTCCCTTTTTTTCTTTCGAGGATTTTTATCTTTAGAGCCGATCGATCTTCCACGCTTTAGGCGTGCTTTAGATTCATTTGTTATAACATTAATAGGTTGTCTTATTGGGACATCAATTTTAATAGGAGCATTCTCGGCGGGAATATGTGATTTAGTTACTCTCTTTGGATCGGAAAATGCATCTAGCGGTTGGTTTGCAAGACTTTGTAAATGAATTATCCTTTGAACTTCAAGTTCACATTGTTTTGTACGGGGATCAACATGATATAAAGATGAAGTATTCCATGTAATTTCTTTTTTCAACATTTCTAACTCGCTTATTCGTTTATTTTCTCCCCTAATGTTGGAAAAATTATTTCATCAAAATGACAATCGGCAAAACGAGCCGTAAAAACATCCCATGTTAATGGTTCAAGACATTTAATTAAATAAGGAGATTCATATCCAACATATATTCCCAATCTCCTGCGAGGACTCATTTTAGTTCGTTGTGGAGGAGTAATTGGGACATATACTGCACATTCAAAAATCCTCAAATGAGAAATATTAGGCTCATGATCGAAATCAATTGAAGGGGAGATAATTTCGATAACTTATAGGCTCGATGCGAATAAGTGTTCGTTGCATGTAAAATTGCATGTCCCCAAACATAAACGGGAAGTTTTTTTTTCATAAGTAATGGTCTAGCTATCAATTGGAGGTTTTTGATAAATGATTCCGCTAGACCATTTTGAGTATGAACATGAGCAACGAGTACGTTCAACTCTTATTCCAATAGACATGCGGTAATCATTAAAAGCTTGAGATGTAAATTCACCGGTATTATCAAGGCGAACTGTTTTAATGGTATAATCTGGAAATTGTGCTCGTAATCGAATGATTTGAGCAAGTAATCTCGAAAATGTCGGGTTTTGAGTTAATAATAAACATACATGTGATCATCTTGTAAATGCATCTATTAAAACCATAAAATATCTAAATGATCCACATGGTGGATGAATTGGTCAACGTATATCACCTTGTATACGTTTTAAAAATGCTTGGAGAGTCAATCTCAATTTTATTTGGTGAATGCTTAATAATAAGTTTGCTTTGAGAACACGCAAAACGTGAAAACTCATTAGATTGAAGAATCTTCGGTTCTTCAATGGATGTCCATACGAATTTTCAATAATTTTTCGCATCATAATGAATCCAAGATGGCCCAATCGATTATGCCACAAAATAAAAAGATTAGTAAACTTCGGTTTACTATGGCATTTGTTTCAATTATTTGAATATTTGTATAATAAATGCCGAAGAGAAAGCGAGGTAATTTCTCTAATACATATTTTCTACCTCGATTTAATTTTTGTAATATATAAGTACTCAATATTCTCGACATTTGTTGTTTCAATATGATATCCATTTAAACGAATATCTTTAAAAGTCAATAAATTTACGTGGGACTTAGGGGAGAATAATGCATCATCTATAATCAAATTTGTCCCTCTAGGTAGTAATATATTTGCTCTTCGGAGCCATTAATTAAATCAACACTACCGGATATAGTGTTAACATTAGCCTTGCCCATCGTTAAATTGGAGAAATACCTTTTATTTTTAAGTATAGTATGTGTGGTTGCACTTATCCACGAGGCATAGATTCTTCTCCATGACGTTTAAACCAATTGCAAACTTGGTAATATCAATATATTCTTCATAAACACAAAACAAACAAATAAATAAAAATGAAAACTAATATGATGAAATAAAAATAAAACATAAAACTTCTTTATTTATCAAAAGGTAACAAAATTTTAAACAATTATCATTAACCTAATAATTTTTTCTTTCGGAATCTTTAAAGAAATTAGCAACATCTAAATGTGTTAAGTTACTGAAATCTTCGAGAGGAACATTATCACAAACATTATTTTGATATATAAAATTTGCTTCTATATCACTTTCTTTCTTTTTCAATGAGGCTTGATAAAGCTCAACTAGGTGTTTTGGCGTACGACGAGTACGCGACTAATGTCCCTTCATACCACATCTATAAAATTCATTTTCGGAGTGTCGACTTGATCCACCTTTATTCTTTTCTTATTTCTTTTCATAATTTATCCACTTCGGGGATGAGGTGTATTATTATTATCACCACGATTATAACGATAATTATTTCGACCACGACTAATGCCACGACCACGTCCACGTCCATGGTTACGACCACGACTACGTCCACGTCCAAAATTATTATAAGATGTCACATTCACTTCGGGGAATGGAGTAGATTCGATTGGGCGGGATTCATGATTTTTCATCGGTAGCTCGTTATTTTGTTCAGCCACAAGTAGGCATGAAATCAATTCGAGTATTTCTTAAAACTTTTTTCTCGATATTGCTTGCTACGGGAGCATATTCGAGGCATGAAAAGTAGATAATGTTTTCTCTAATATATCGGAATCGGTAATATTTTCTCTACATAATTTTAGTTGGGAACTGATTCTAAATACTGTAGAATTATACTCACTTACAGTTTTAAAATCTTGTAACCTTAAGTGCATCCAATCATAACGAGCTTTTGGAAGAATTACCGTCTTTTGGTGGTTGTATCTTTCCTCTAAATTTTTTCACAGTTCAAGTGGATCTTTCACTCGTTAAATATTCGGTTTTCAAATCTTCATGGAGATGATGACGAAGGAAGATCATTGCCTTAGCACGGTTTTGCAAGGATTCTTGATTGTCATCCATGATTGTTTGTCCAAGGCCATTAGCATTTAAATGTATCTCGAGCATCAAGCACCCATGATAAATAATTCTTGCCCGAAATGTCAAGGGTCACAAAATCAAGCTTTGTGAGGTTTGACATGATAAAAATTCTATAATACAAGATATAATAATGATGTTAGAAAATAAAAACGAACATAATAATAATATTCAAACGTCTCAAAACAATATGCATTAGATTATTCAAGTTTTCAAATATACATTATATATACTATTAGATTTAAAATAAAAGATAGATTAGGTACATACCTCTTAATAGACTAGATGATTTGCGTCGTTTGGTAGAACAATTGTGCTAATAACGTGTTGTGAATAATAAAAGATATATGAGAATTTAAAGGAAGGATGGCAAGAAGAAGAATTCACTATAAAGTGAATACAAGTGAGAAAACTTCAATTTGTTCTCTTAATCTCTCTAAAAATTTGTACATCAACAAATGAACAATCAAGCCTATTTATAGGCCTCAAAATTGAGATAAGAATTGGAAGGGACTATGAATAATTAAAAGTACATCAATTGCATCACCATTTTTCAATTTCTCAAATTGAATGGTGAATTGAATCACATTAAAGATCATGAGTAGTGGGGATATGAAAAGTAGATGGACATTCATATGGACATTTATTATTTTATAATAGGTTTCAAATTATTTTGGTTTTTATTTTTGGTTTTTGGGTGTTAACCGAAATTATTAACATTGAAAGTTCAAGTTCACTATTCCACAACCTATAATATTTATAAATATTTTCGAACTCATACAAAAGTTCTTTTTCGATGTGGGACGATTTTAAGTCTATTAGCTTTTGTTAGTGAGATGGATTATTTATAGACCTTTCCAAGTCTCAAAAGTATGTGTTTTTTCGATATGGGATAGTGAACTAACCCTTTGAGATTACCTCTATCCCACATCGCTTAGTTTAGCCTTTGGAGGGTGGGGGATAGGTTATAAATTAAGCTTGACTTCGGTAACTTGTTCTCTTCTACTTGTGGCCGTGGGTTGTGATTTGTGTGGGCTTTATCTTTTAAAGTTCAAGTGAAAACCCAATTTCAGTTAAATTTTATATTAAGTTTATTTTAAATAGGGTGAGGTGTTCGGTTTTCGGTGGAAACCGGTTTAAATTTTTAAACCGAAACCAAAATCGAAAAGTGATCAAATTTCGATTCGGTTTTTTTTTTAATAAATTGAAATGAAAAACCGAACCAAATTAGGTATTTCGGTTCGATTGTATTCGGTTTTCGGTTAATCGAACCGTTTGCTCACCCCTACATTGCATGCAGGATGTTAATGATGTACTTACAGCAATAGATCATGTGATTGATATGGGACTTACTAGCCCCTCCAAAGTAGCTGTGGTTGGTGGTTCCCATGGTGGCTTTCTCACAACTCACTTAATTGGCCAGGTGTGGTAGTGGTTCTAGCTCTGTTCTAGTGGCAGTCAGATGTCTTTGGTAGAATGGATATTGAGATTTTTGTTATTACGAGGATCTTTTCTGTAGCGAACATCTTTCTCTATGAATTTCTGCAGGCACCAGATAAGTTTGCTGCAGCAGGTACGAGGAATCCTGCTTGTAACCTTGCATCGATGGTTCGCATAACAGATATCCCTGATTGGTGATATTTGGAAACATATGGAGTTGGGGGCAAATCTAAATTTACAGAAGCATCCTCAGTCGAGGACCTGGCTTTCTTTCACAGCAAATCTCCCATATCACACATCTCAAAGGTACCTTTCTAGAGACTTGTTTCCTGTTGGGTGATATGTGGCTATTCTAGCCTTCTAGGATTCATGACAGAAGCACCAAGAATAGGAATAGAATAGTCTAAACCCAAATGAAGTTTATTGCAAGATAGCCTTATCAACAGGCATGCCATCGCTGACTGCAAAAATGGCACCTGCAAGCGTGCTTACTTTCACACTGCAGGAAGATGGATGCTATCAACTTTGAAGCAGCAGCAGAAGCTATTAATAGCTAGTTTCAGAAATCACAACGCGTGTCCATGCACCTTGCCAGGGGCAATTGCTGGATTGGCAATTGTACCTGTGCATGGAATGCATAGGAAATAGTAAGTTGCATGAATTCTATATAAAAATGGCAGCCAAGCCTTGCTTTTGGTATGAATTTAAGCAAATATACAATGCAAAGGAAACCATTTTGTTAAGGATGAAGAACCTGAGCTTCATGGTTGAAAAATTGTTTGGTTATTTACCAGAAGATCTGCTACATGTTAGTGTTTGCCATAGGCACTACTGGTGGAGTTGCTAAAGCAATGAACTTGCATTCTTGAGCCATGGAACAGGAACTCTAAAACTCACGACCTGTTCCCTCTTCCTTTCAGTTGTATCAGTTATTGAGTAGAATAGAGAAGGTGATTGACCTTTTCTTTTGGCTTTTTAGCTAGGTTGAGTACCCAATCCTCAAGTCAAGAATTTAAGGCTGAGAGACAATTTTTTTTTTTTTTAAGTTATGTTGAATTTCTTATTTGATGATCTTTGCAGGTTAAAACACCAATCATTTTTGTTCTAGCTGCTCTGGATCTTCGGGTTCCATTATCTAATGGCTTGCAAGTAAGATACCATGCTCTCTTCGAGTACTGTTTATGACTGTAGAAATTTCCAGTGTATGGTTTGATTACAGTTGCTGGAGCAGTGATTGACAAGATAAAAACCACAAACAGCAAACAGTGATTGTTTTCTGGATGTTACTCTCATAAAATGATGGCACTAATTGTTTGATATTTGAAATTTATAGTATGCACGGTCATTAAAAGAGAAAGGAGTTGAGGTCAAAGTCCTCATGTTTCCCAATGATGTTCATGCGATTAGCAGGTAAAATTGACACTTTCTAATGAATACGGAATCCAACAAGCTCAAAGAGAATTCACTTTCACATTAAGTCTGATCCACCCTTCTTTTCTGCAGACCCCAATCTGACTTCGAAAGCTACCTTAACATTGGAGTATGGTTCAACAAGCATTGTAAATGAGCATGCCTGACGGGTCACATGTTGCTAATGGGGTGTCAAGTCTGAAGTACAGAGATTTACTAGCACATTAATTGAGGGAAACCACTTTTAAACTATTTGCACGCCTTGCTACTACTGGTAATTGGGTAAGGGTGGTGTTTTGCAGGTTTTTTTTTTTTTTTAAAGACTTTGTATGAAAGAAATAAAAAATAACTGAACCGGGATTTGTAAGACAGTTCAACTTTAAAATTGAATATAAAATGATTGATATTTCTTCTCTTAAAGATGTTTTTAGTATTTATTTATTTATTTTAATAAAAAACCAAATCAAGAAATTTAAAATTAATTTGCAACTTTCGGATGAAGTTTGCAATGTGCCTTTAAGTAAGTTGGGTTGTAGGTTTGTCAAATATCTTAGGTTAATTTGAAATCAAAATTACAAGTTCAAATCCAAAATTACAAGAATAAACAACTTATGTACAAAAAAAGACTTGATGCAAGCCTAACGATATAATAAATCTGAATAGAAACTCCCATTTGCTGATGCCGAAGAGTTTGTAAATGGATACTTCAAACATGCAAATCTTTCCTTATCAGGAATTGTGGATGCAGATAAAGAATCAATTTATAAACCTATCAATCTACTTAATTATAGTTCACTTGATTACATCTTATAGATTAATGTCTACAAGCTATAGGCTAATAATCAATTTATAAATCTATTAATCTACTCAATTACAGTTTACTTGATCACATCCTGTAGATTAATATCAACATGTTATAATTTAACAAGTTTTATGTGTGTTGAAACTTAAAATAGTATTATGAAAGTTATTTGCAATTTGCAAATTTAGTTTATTTTTATGTTATATTGTGCGTTTTTCTATAATCTTTCTTAGTAAATTATATTTTATTATATTTTGTCATGAATTTTACAACCTTCTATATCTCTTTTTAACTTTTCAATTCATGTTATAATATCTCGTGTTTTTTATTGTTGTTTTGAACATGTTTTTTAGATATTAAATCCTCATTGAATCTTTATTAATTATGTTATCTATTGCTTTTATAGTTATTAATACTCTTACTTTTAAGTGTGTTCGACAATAACTCAATCTTGTCAAAAGTCCATGTTTGATGATTTTCTTAAAAATTATTGCATTTGTTTTTTTCATTTCAAATCTTTCCGGTAAGGTGTTGGGCTTCCAGTCAATTAGGTTTGAGTTGGGTTTTTGAGCCTTTGGTCAAAGGTTTGAAACTAAATTGGATATCTGGTTTCAATTTGATATGGGTATAGCAACTTTTCATTTAATTTGGTAGATTCTCCGATCCGATCTAAATTTGGGTATAACGTGTGGTTTTTGGCAAAATTCTACACTGCCGTTATATTACAATACAACTTTATAATGTCGATTCAACTCGTTGAGCGACATGTGGGTTGGCACTTTTGAGAATAATGCAAGGCAATCCATGAAATTTGATTGAGCTCCCCTCAAGTTAGTGCTAACATTATGTATGGTGTTAGTTTAATCTCAGCTTTTAAATTAAATGAAGAGTTAAGATTTTATTAGGAAATTTTCTCTTAACTAGATACAGTTCCCTTTTTTTTTTTTTTTTTAGATCTAATTCCTTTTATATCAAAATAAAACTAGAATACAACTATGAAATTTAATTAATTGTAAGTTGTAGAATTTTTGGGCACAAATTTAGAATTTAATAAGATTAAAATTATGAAATTTTTTTTTATTGGAAAGCATTCAAAAATCCTTTTGAATCATTTCAAGTTAACCTTTCTTTATTTATAAATCTTGAAAATTTGATTAGTTATAATTTTTTCTTAAAAAAAAATTAAGTGATGAATCTTGTTTTTGGTTTAAAAAAGAACAGAGCTATTCGAGATTATATAAATTAAAAATGTTTTTATAAGATTCATAAGAAGTTAGATTCAAAGGAATTTTTTTTTTTCATTTAACATACATAGATAGATAAAAGATAAAGAATTACTATCATAAAAATAGGAGTATATAGTTAAATCTATTATTATATAATAGTCCAAATTTCTAATTTATCTTTATATTTTTAATTATATTTATTATGTTTTTGAATAATATTTAACCCTCCAATATGTCATTTCGATTAATTTTTTCAATAATGAGCAAAAACTTTTACCAAAATGGTCCAGACTAAAATAATAATGATAATAGTCTCACTTATTTTTATATAGGTCAAGTTTTCAATATATCCTTACATCCTAAAATGATTCTATTATATTATTATTATTTTATGTGGTTTCTAATAGGTCTCTTTGGTCATTTTCTCAAATCAAATCACCAAAAAATATCACATGATTTGCATATAAGTGTTTTTTCTTAAGAAAATACCCTCACAGACTTAATACGTTAAGTCTATAATATGTCATTATATAACATGTTGAGTTTTCAATCTATCTTGATGCGAAAAAATCCATTATATTATTGTTAATAATTTTCTTAATAATGTGTTGCACTATACTACTTTTTTTAATTAATTAAAACCATATAAAAATAAGTGTTCAAAAAATTGTCATTTAACATATTTTTAACGCTAAAGAGTCTAGTATTATTGTCATTATAATAATTTACTTATATATAATATTGACCAAATTGATATAATATTTACTAATACATTAAATCATCTCTATAAAAAAAAAATTTGAATCGCATGTGAAAAAAATAATTATGTAATTAAAAAATCATGTAATAATTTTTTTAATCACATGCTTAAGAGACTAATTAAAAATTATTTAAATATAGTTATTTTTTTAAGTATACACTTAAAAGGCTAATTAACAATCATTTAAATTATAATTATTTATTTTTTGCACTTGATTTGGCATGTTTTTTTTATATATAGATAGAGATGATTTAATATATTAGTAAATATTATATCAATTTATTCAATATCATACATGAATGAATTATTATAATATAATCGATTCTTTATCAATAAAAAAAATGTTAAATGATAATTCCTTAAACACTTACATAAACTAATTATTTTTGCATATTTTTAATTAACAAAAAAAAACACTGTGATAGATAACCAACCTATTTTTATATTAGGAAAATTATTACCAATCATATAATGATTTTTTTTAGCATTAACGACAAAATGTAAACTCACCCTATTTTATAAGAACATATTAGAAACTTAACATGTTAAATTGTGAAGGGCATTTTCATTTAAAAAAAAAAAAAAGTCATGTGCATCTCATGTGACATTTTTCAGGTGATTTGACTAAAAAAATTAACCAAAAAAACATATTAAAAACCAGCTAAAATAACAAAAATATGATAGAGTCGTTTTAGAATATAATGATAGATCAAAAACTTGACTTATTGTATAAGGATATGTGAGGCTATTAACTCAAAAATAAAAATAAAACATATAGATCATGTGACTTTAAGTTGTTTTTTTTTTTTTGTCACGAGTATTTCTGTAAATTTTTTTATCAATGATTGAAAAAATTGATTGAAATGATAAATTGAAAAGTTAAACGCTATTTAAGAACATAATAAATACAATAAAAAATATAAAGAAAGATTGAAAACTCATGTTATTATATAACGAAATGTTGAACTATCTATCCTACAAATAGTGCTTCATTTTAATAGCAATGATAAAAATAAATAAATAAAATAGATGGGATTCTTGCTGAATTCAGTATCCGATAAAGAAAGAATTCTTCCTTTTGGTTCTTTTATTCATAATCATTAACCAACACATTTTGATTTATTTTAATTTATTGCGTTAGTCCTTGATTTTAGAAAATTAATTCATGAGAAAGAATTTTATGTTTTAATTAAATTTTGAACCAAATAATTCATGTTTCAAACAAACATTTTAATTACAGTTTCGACTTGATGATTATATTTTTCTTTCAATTGAACTCCTAAATTATTATTACTCGAATTGAAGCATTTGGTTAGAATGTGAGTTACACCAAATTATTCAGCTTGATTATTTAAATAATTATTTGTGGACCGGATCGAATTCTTTTATGCACTCTAGAACATATATATCATAATATTGTAAGTTGGACTAAAATTTAACTATAAATTTTTTAATTTAAATTTACCATTATTTTAAATTCTTAATTTTTGCAATGAAAAATCCAGAAAAAGAAGAGATTAAAACAATTCCTAATATTTATATATTTTTTTTGTTCCTAAGAAATCATAACTTCAACAATATAAATAAATAAATACCTGAGTTTTGATAACCATTAAAATTTATATTTTATGTTGCAGCTTAATAAAGATTTGCATATAAAGATCTTAATTCATGCAGCTGGATCCTCAAAAAACAACCTCATATTTTTGAATTGTGGATTGAATGATATTTGCAATTAACTTCTATCAATTTGATTTGTTCAAAATAATGACCATTACAAAAGTAGGCTCATACAACGTGTTTTAAAAATGCATAGAAAGTGACCAGACACCAACCATATTGAAATTAATTAAGGTTTTTATAGAGTTGAATTGAATCTTATCATTTAATATAATCCTCACTACTAGTATACTGTTAGTCAATTATTTATACATCAGTTATTACTACTATACATGAGTGGATGGATATAATAAATTAATGAAAAATGATTGGCAAATCAAAAATCATATAGCTTTAATGCATATGAGTGGTAATTATCTCATAATAATAATAAAAAAAGAGATATATACGTATAAAATAAATTCATAATCTATTAGTTTAGACTTCTGAGTTAAAATTACGTGCAAATTTAACTGATTCTTCCGTTCAGATTTTTCTAACAAAGTGATATAAGAGCCAGTAGTTCTATTAGTAAGAGTAAATATAAATGGAGTTTATATAGCCAATTTTGATTAGGATGAATACGAAGACACACTGTGAATTAATTTTTATAGTTGCCTGCCTTCGTGGGAAAAGTAAACAAGAAGTTGGATTAGATTGGTGGCGTGGTTTCCGTTAGCGATAGGGTTGCGCCTCATACGGCTCTTCTA